AATGACTTGACATGCTTATAAACACATAATATCATGAAATTGCATGAACAAGACATGAACATGACTTGGAAAAAGGGTTGTAGCGTGCGCGTAAATGCGACCCGACGCTACAGCCGATATGTTCGGCCATTTAACAATTCTCCCGACCGAATAACACATGAATCACTTTAACTGATTATAACATGAAAGGTTATACATAACATGGTCATATGACATGAACATAACTCGAGCAATAGTAAAGGTCGTGGCTTCCGCTACGTGCGGTGCCCGACGGCTTTGGCCAACCTACCGCAAAACGATGACTTTCCTCGACAAACCTTACTTAACTGAACATAATGAATCAAATAATGACTAAAGGAACGTAAGTTGCTCAGAAGTTGTCGAATAACATCGAACATGGCTCGGCATAGCTTGAATTAACTTAAACTGAACTTATCTTGGACTTAGCATAAACTGATTGACATGACTTAGACATACTAAGCGTAACATGAGCAGATTGACATCAAAAGAGGGTTAGGACATGATTACCTCCTCAAACTCTCGATAACTTCCACTCGGCACTTTGCTCATGCGTACGTGGTTGCTTCCTTCTTCTCTTGCGTGCGGTACTCTTAACTTGGGTTATTATATCTAATTCTATGCTTGTAAGGTAAGTGGAGTATGAGATCAATTTTTTTTTCCTCCAACTCTCTCATCTATATAACCGAATGAAGATAAATTCATGACCAATGAAAAGGTTCCATTTGCTTTGCTCTTAAGGCATGAAGTGTACTACTACTTGCAAAGTCATCAATTAATTGGCTTAGTCACCACTTAAGCCTTAAGAATAAGCCACCTAATGCTAAGAAAATTAGGAAGCTTCACATGAATTATTTGCTCCAAGGCTTACGGCATTTGAACACTTCCCATTTCCTTAAGCGTGACTAAAATGCTTAATTAAGCACCATAAACTTGCTTAATTATTTGGCCATGCATAATTAATAGATTAAGCTTGTTATATGATTACTAATACATGACATTTCCTACTAATTGCTCACGTTTTGCAACTTAAATTGGGAGAATTTCATGACTTCTAATTGACTAATTGCTCACGGCCTTTAGCAAATTAAGCGTGATTAATTATTAATTAATCACTACATTATGCTTAATTAATTACTAAGCATATTGCTTAATTACCAAAATTATTCCGAACGTAAACGGGACGTCGAAAATAATTTCGGGTAATCTTGACTGAAAATAATTAATTCTGAAAATAATAATTTATTTTATCGGAACTAAAAACATGATTTATATTACTAACATGACAGGATACTCATGAGTTGGACGATTAATCCGAATATTGATATTTTGGATAATTCGTCAACTTAACTTATTAATTCCGAACTCCTTAAATAAGGAAAACGAATCGGAATTAAATTTGGAAACTTATCCGGTTACTGAAATAATTAACCGAATAATTTAACGACTAATAGTCGAATTTGGAATATAACTGACTGATTAACCTGAACTTGAACATAAACATGATTATTTATTAATAAAGGCTAGCTTAAAACTAAAAGCTAGTACTTTCCTTTATTAATAAAATACGGGGCGTTACAATCCACCCCCCCTTAAAATATTTCCGTCCTCGGAAATACTACAACTGGAATGTACAAGCTTAACTTAAAACTTATACTTACTGATTACCTGTCTTGAGAATTCAGTACTTTAATACTGAATATTAGACTTGATCTGAACTGAAGATATATCAATTCACAATTAAGTGAATTGTTAGTTACTACTGACTGAGAATGAACACTTTTCTGAAATAAAGTGTTCCACTGATAAAACATGATCTCAAAACGAAACTCTGAAGCGTACTGGTCATCATCTCCTGGCTGCTGGCTAATCTCCAGTCTGAATGCTGGTTGTGAAGACTCCAGTCGTTGGTACACACGGAAGATTCCAGAGATACACAAATGTATAAATGAGGATAACTAGCTATATTGGTAATTACCTTTCATGAATGTCTGCTCGACAACGCGGCACATCGTTCGCGGCACATTGTAATGCGGCACACCTGCTCCTCATCGAGTGAGTGCGGTATGCCTGCATACAGCACCTGGCGAACATTGCACCTGCGCCGTCGACGTAATCTGATCGTATTTATACCTCAAGCTAGTAACCTCAATGTATGTTAATACTAACTCTCTGTAACCTCCTAGTGTAATGTGACGCAAGCATGGAATCTTTGAATGGAAAGCGTCGGGTTGTTGTCATGGCACGATGTTTTGCTATCGATTGGCCCTTCTTCATCGCGGCGTATATCAACCTGTGGTACCTGCAACTGTTCACTCCCTCCGAGGTTAACTTAACCTCAAGAAGAAGTCCATCATGAATGAATATCTCCCACGATTTTTCAGATTCTTCAGAATTTGAGAATCGAGGTGCTGACATAAATAAG